TTCTGATTATCTGAGCACACACGGCTCCAAAGGCCTTTGATCTGTTTCTGCCGCTCAGGGCTCAGGGCGGAGGACTAAGGCTAAGAAAATAACTTCCTGCAAAGGACCCAGAAGAGCCAACAGTCTTACAAAAGGAGGGCTTATTTGAGGACTGACACTTCCCAATCTCAAAACTTACTGTAAAACTACGATAACCTGCCGGTGGTCCTGGCACAGGACACAGATCAACGTAACGGCAGTGAGAGCTCAGAAGCGAGCTCCTGTGCTCAGGGCCACCTGATCGTCAGCAAGGGCGCCAAGGCCGGCCGCGGGGAAGGACAGTCTCTCCGACAAAGGGGGCTGGGACACGGCTGAGCCGCGTGCGAAAGAAGGGAGTTGGACCGTCCCTCACGCCAAATACAAAAGTGAACTCAAAAAGGACTAAAGACCTACAAGGAGGTGCTGCCCTATAAAACTAGACACAGGGTGGGGCAAAGCAGGTTGTCAAAACTCAGAACTTTGTGCTTCAAAGGACACTATCAAGAAAATGAAAAGAAAACCCACGGGATGGGAGAAAACATTTGCTAATCATAAGGTCTAGGACAGCAATGGCGAACCTTTTGAGCTCGGCGTGCCAGCATTTTGAAAAACCCTAACTTAACTCTGGTGCTGTGTCACATATAGAAATTTTTTGATCTTTGCAACCATAGTAAAACAAAGACTTATATTTTTGATATTTATTTTATATATTTAAATGCCATTTAACAAAGAAAAATCAACTAAAAAAATGAGTTCGCGTGTCAGAGGTTTGCCATCACTGGTCTAGGAGAACTACTACCATTCAGCAATAAAAAGACAAATAATTTAAAAATGGGCAAAATATTTGAGTAGACATTTCTCCAAAAAATATATATGAAGAAGCCAGTAAGCACATGAGCAGACACTCAACTTCATCAGTCATCAGGCAAACACGAGTCTAAACCACAGTGGCATGCCCCCGCAGTCCACCGTGATGGTGGGAATCAGAAGACGGTAACTCACGCTGGCAAGGACGCGGAGAAACCAACCCCGCGCACGGCTGTCGGGAAGGTAAACAGTGCAGCAGCATCTCTGGAAACCAGTCTGGCTGGTCCTCAAAAAGTTAAAATAAGAGCTCCCATATGACCCAGCAATTCTGCTCTAGCATGTACACCAGAGAACTGAAAGTAGGTCCGCACAGAAACTTGTGCACAAATGCTCACAGCAGCATATTCATGATAGCCAAAGAGTAAAAGCAGTGAACATATCCATCAACTGATGAATGGGCTAGAAAACTAGCACCTATCCATACAATGGAATACCATTTAGCCACGACGTGAAGGAATGAAGTGCTGATACACGCTGCACCATGGGTGAGCCTTAAGAACAGGCTAAGCGAAAAGGCCAGACTGTCTTGCCTGACTGTCTGCAGCAGGCAAGCTCAGGGGGAGGAAACAGATCAGTGGCTCTCAGGGAATCGGGGGAAGAGAGAGCAGGAAGTGACTGCTCACAGGTAAGTGGCTCTGAGTGGGGTGATGAAAATGTTCTGGAATTAGCTAGTAATTCACAACTTGTGAATATACTAAAAATCACTGAAATTGCACCTTGTTAAACAATGATAAACTATATAGTATGTGAATCTTATTTCAAGGAAAAACTTGCTAACAAAGGTAACCTAGTTCATTGAATCCTGGACAGCGCCAATATTAAGACAGCCCGATCTCGAGGTAGTAAAATGAGAATAAAATGTGCATCTTGGAATCCATGAAACAGGGCAAGTCATGGAGAGGCGCTCCCAGAGGTTTCAGCTGCAGCCGTCAGCGCCTCACTGGGCCTACTCCCCTTTCACCAGGGACCGACTTCTGTGTGTGAAAAAGGCCTTACCGATCATCATCCCAGGCCCGTCACTCCACAAGGGAGGCTGTCTGAGAGGGCTTCTATTGTGTTCACTTAAAAAAACAGAGATTTTACCCCTCATGGCTCAAGCCGTGACCCCCAGTGAAGCTTTCCTCTGTGCAGGGCACAGGCTGCAGGTGCTGCCCAGCCAGCGCCTGTGTGGGTCACACAGACACGAGAAGACACGAGAAGTGTGGGGCCAGCTGTGCTGGGAGGGTGGCAGTCACACCCCTGCTGCAGCTCACACCCTGAGCGAGAACCAAGTTCTGGACGATAGGTAGGCGCGGGGACTCAAGGACCGAGACCTGCTCACAGGTAAGTGGCTCTGAGTGGGGTGATGAAAATGTTCTGGAATTAGCTAGTAATTCACAACTTGTGAATATACTAAAAATCACTGAAATTGCACCTTGTTAAACAATGATAAACTTTATAGTATGTGAATCTTATTTCAATGAAAAACTTGCTAACAAAGGTAACATAGTTCATTGAATCCTGGACAACGCCAATATTAAGACTGCCGATCTCGAGGTAGTAAAATGAGAATAAAATGTGCATCTTGGAATCCATGAAACAGGGCAAGTCACGGAGAGGCGCTCCCAGAGGTTTCAGCTGCAGCCGTCAGCGCCTCACTGGGCCTACTCCCCTTTCACCAGGGACCGACTTCTGTGTGTGAAAAAGGCCTTACCGATCATCATCCCAGGCCCGTCACTCCACAAGGGAGGCTGTCTGAGAGGGCTTCTATTGTGTTCACTTAAAAAAACAGAGATTTTACCCCTCATGGCTCAAGCCGTGACCCCCAGTGAAGCTTTCCTCTGTGCAGGGCACAGGCTGCAGGTGCTGCCCAGCCA